GCTGGAGCGATAGCACAACAGGTAGGGCATTTGCCTCAAACGTGGCCGACCTGGGTTCAATTCCCAGCATCCCATAAGGTCCCCCAAGCACTGCCAGGAGTAATTCCTGAGTGCAGAGTCAGAACTAACCCCTGTGCATTGCCAGGTGTGACTCAAAAAGCAAAAAAAAAAAAAAAACCCGCTTAAATAAGCCTAAAATGTAGACTTAAATATACGCTTATAATATAAGCAAAGACAGCTTAAATGTAAGCTTATTAGCAAATTTAAGCCTAAATAATACAACCTTAAACTGAAAACTGATTTAATTCAACAATGCAAACCAAAGGACAGGAACTGCTGCTATCATATGTGATAAAACATAATTTCAACTAAAAATTATAAGAAATAAAATTGGTATTATGTGTTGATCAAGATATAAACCAATAAGAGATGTATTAATCATAAACGATCACGGTCACGGTCACGGTCCTTCCGTTGTTCATCGATTTGCTCGAGCGGGCCCAGTAACATCTCCATCATGAGACTTGTTACTGTGTTTGGCATATCAAATACATCATGGGTAGCTTGCCAGACTTTGCCGTGTGGACGAGATACTCTCGGTAGCTTGTCGGGCTCTCCTAGAGGGGCGGAGGAATCGAACTCGAGTCGGCCATGTTGGCTGCGTGCACGGCACACGCCCTACCGCTGTGCTATCGCTCCATTATATATAATCTATATATACATAAACTATATATATATATGTATATAGAGAGAGATAGAGATAGAAAAACCACCAACACAGGACTACTAAAACTTAGAAAAAAATCAGACTTTAAGGAATACATAAAAAGCAACATAATAACTTTAGGAAATCTCGATGCACAACTAAATAAAATGGCAAGCTCATCCAGACAAAAATTTAACAAAGAAATATGGCATTACACAATCCACTCAAAGAGATGAAATTATTATATATGTACAGAAATTTCCATCTTAAAAGAAATCAATATATATTATTCACAAGTGCACATGGAACATTCTCAAGGACAGAACATATACTGGGATACAAAAATGTCTTAATATAAAATGTGAAGACTGAGATCATATCAAGCATCTTTTATGATCACAATAATATTATATTAAAATCAACAACTAGAAGAAATTGGAATAACCTCAAACATATGGAGACATACTTCTGAATAATAAAAAAAAAACAAAGGATAAATAAATAATTAGAAAGTAAACAAAAAGGCTAGTTATCAGGTTCCACAGTATGTAGCGAAAGCAATATTAAAATGGAACTTTATCACTACATAGGGCCACATCACTGAACAGTCTCATATAAACTAACTTTATATTTGAAGGAACTAGAAAATAAGGAATAAATAAATTAAAAAATAAGCAGAAGGAAATAATCATAAATATTACAATGTAAGTGAATGAAATGGAAACCAAAACCTTGAAAAGATAAATTAAACCAAAAATCGGTTTCACGAAAGAATAAATAAAATTGATATATCCTTCACCAGGTTCACCATGGAAAAAAGGAAAGCACTGTAAAGAAGTTCATAATGAAAAAGACAAAGTTAGAACTAGTACTCCAAAAAGAAATACAGGGCTGGAGCAATAGCACAGTGAGTAAGGCATTTCCCTTGAACACTGCCAACCCGGGTTCGATTCCCAGCATCCCATATGGTCCCCTGAGCACTGCCAGGAATAATTCCTGAGTGCATGAGCCACGAGTAACCCCTGTGCAACGCTGAGTGTAACCCAAAAATTAAAAAGAAAATCAAAGGCGACCAGAGAGATAGTATAGGGTTAAGGCACTTGCCATACGCGTGGCTGACTCCAGTTTGATCTGCAGCATCATATAAGATCCCCAGAGCATCACCAGGAGCGACCACTGACCAAAGATCAAGGAGTAGGCCCTGAGTACTTTTAGTTCTGGATGTGACCCCCCCAAAAAATCCAAAGGATCATAAAAGACCACTATGAACATCCATATGCAAACATATCAGACAATCTAGAAGAAATGAATAAATTTATTTATTTATTTATGCTTTTGGGGTCACACCCGGCAATGCACAGGGGTTATTCCTGGCTCTGCACTCAGGAATTACTCCTGGCGGTACTCAGGGGACCACATGGGATGCTGGGAATCAAACCTGGGTTGGCCGCATGCAAGGCAAATGCCCTACCTACTGTGCTATCGCTCCAGCCCAGGATAAATTTTTAGAATCATTCAACTTTCTAATACTACACCAGGAAGAAATGGAAAGCTTGTAAAGATACCAACCAAAGTCGAAACAGTAATAAGAAATTTCTCCCTGGACCCACATCCCAAAGTCTCACCATGTATACTCATTGGCTCACAGATCCACAGATTCATGGTTAATGTCAGAAGAGAAAGATGAAAGCCAAGCCACTAAAACTCACCGCCACACAAGTCTTCTAGCTGAAAATTCTGGCGAACCCTTGGGAGGGAGGTAGGTTGAATATCTGACTTGCTTAACCTCCGGAAGCTGCACCCATATCCCACAGTTACTGCTATGCCAAGGGCCCAACTTCTCTATTCCATCTCTGTAAAGATGCCAAACCAACAAAAATTCCAGGTACACCGATTTTCAGGCCAAAAATTCTTGGGTCTTCTTGAAGTGGGAGCAGTAAGCCTCTCCCACTCTCCCCCACCACCCATCCCTATCCCCAGCACACTTTTGGAAATCCCAGAAGCCACACCCATATCCCACAGCTGTGGCCACATAAATTCATCAACTCAGCTCCACAGATTCACAGGTAATCTCAGAAGAGATGCAAGGAAACCCACAAAGATTCACAGGTACATGAAAAATCTGGGGCAACCTTGGGAGGGGGGTGGGTCAGATCCCTTCTCTGTCACAGCCCCAGCAGCCATGCCCAAATTCCACAATACTGACAGCCCAATAAGAGCTAAACAAATTAGGTGGAAATGTGGCATAGAAGACAAGTAAGCTCAATAAACCCAGACAATAACACACAAGGTTCAAGTAGCAACATATAGCTTTGTAAACCCTCAGACAATGACTTAATGGTCCCATGGAGAGAAATAACAATTTTCACAAATTTTATTTTACTAAAGTATTTTTGATAATTCCATTATCCATTTAATTGTAACGAGCAATATAAAATAATTTTGTGCCATGCTAAGGGAGCAGGCATGGAGGGTGAGTGGAAAATTGGAACTGGTAGAGGGAAGGTCACACTGGTGATGGGATTGATGTTGGAACACTGAATGTCAGCAGAAACTGTATTATAAGCAACTCTGTAACCCACAATGTTTAAATAAAGGGAAATAACCTCCCTAAGGACAAAAATTCAGGACCAGGTTGCTTTATCATTAAATTCTAAGAAACATTCAACCAGACTAATACCCATCCTGTTCAAACTCTTCCCAAAAACTGAAGAGAGGAAAAACTGACAAACATTTTAATGAGGCTAATATGCTGAGGCTAATAGGCTAATATCACAATTCCCAAAATAGAAATTGATAGCTCAGGCAAAAATCTGTAGACCAGTATCTTTGATGAACAAAGATGCAAAAATCCTCAATCAAATTTTGGCAAATTAAATATAAAATGCTCAAGAAAATCATTAATCAAAACCAAGTAGAATTTACCTGTGGATACAAGTATGTATCAACATATACAAGATCAATTAATGAATATACTACATCAACAGAAGAAATATGAACCTATAAATAGACACTGAAAAAGCTTTTGAAAACATTCAACCTCCATGTACGAAAAAACATTTAAGTTGTGAATAAAAGAAACAAAGTTCAACATAACAATGGCCATATATGACAAACTCACAGATAACACCATAATCAATAATGAAAACCTAAAGCTTTCCTCTAAGATCTGGAACTAGAGAAGAATGTTTACATTCACTATTAAGTTAAACATAGTTTTAAAGTCTTAGCCAGACACTTAGGTGAGAAAATATAAAACGAAACCAAATCAGAAAAGAAGCAAAATCCTCACTTACTATTTGTAAATGACATGATAAGAAGCACATAAAACTAGAAAGACTCTAAAATAGTACTAGAAATAATTGATGATGGACTGAACATAAAGTCATAGGGTACACATTTAATACACATAAATGTGTTACATTTCTATATTCAAACAATTAGTTGGAATAAAGGGAAATTAAGAAAACAAATCCATATAGAATTGCACCTAAAAAAGATAAACTACCTAGCACACTCAAAAATGCTGAGAACTCATACAATTTCACAATGAAAAAGGGCAACCCAATAAAAATATGAGCAAAAGAGACAAATGGACACTTCTTTAAAGAAGGCACACATGTGGCACTGGTGTTCCTTGAGCACTCAGAGTGAGGTATTCACAACTAACGAAAAAGTTAACAAGTAAGACTACATCACATTAAAAAGTTTATGCACATTGAAACAAACTATGAATAAGATATAAAGTAATACTACTGAATAAGGGAAGCTGTTAACAAATTTTATTTTTAGATAAGAGGTAAATGTTCAAATTTTGTAAAGAACTAAAAATACTAAACTCCAAATAAATCAATTAAAAATTGACAGAGGATGTGAATAAAGAGAGAGATGCTTATCATCTATTATTAGGAAAATATAAATCAAAACAACAATGACATACCACCTCACACCTTTTAGAAAGGAAATTATCTAAAAGAAAAGAAATGAGAGTTGGAGAGGATATGGATAGATAGAGGATATGGAGAGGATAATGATAGAGTCCTTATTTATCATTCATGGAAATGCAAATTGGTGCCCATTATAAAAAGCAGTATGGGCACTCCTTTAGAAAAGAAATTCTATACAACCCGGTTATCCCACCTTTGTGTATTTACTCAAAAAAAAACAGTATGTTATATTTATAGACAGTAAAGTAAAAATCACCTGTACAAGAGATGGAATTCTTCCATTTGCAACTACATAGATGAATCTACAGAGTATTATGTTAAGAGTACTAGAAATTATATATACATACCTTGAACCACAACATCTGGTTTTGGTACAGTAGAGAACCTACGATTCAGGGGATCAATTTCTCCAGGAGCTAAAAATCCCTAAATAAAAATTATAAAAGAAATATTATTAAATCTCAAAAAAATCCAGTATTTCAAGAGAACTTACATACCAGGAACATAAACATTTTAAGATGTGAAAAGTAGGGACTGGAGTGATACTACAGCGGGTAGGATGTTTCCCTTGCACGCAGCTGACCCGAGTTTGAGTCCCAGCATCCCATATGGTTCCCCGAGCACCACCAGGAGTAATTTCTGAGTTCAAAGCCAGGAGTAACCCCTGTACATTGCCGGGTGTAACCCAAAAAGAAAAAAAAGTGAAAAGTAGGTATAAAAATAAGTATCTTCATGATATAAAAATGTCTTAAATTCCAGAATTCAGATATGTGTTAATCTTATCTAGAGTCAATTTCTAATAGTTGTCACAAATGATGTATTGGAAACAAATGGCGTATAATGGATAAGTTAAAGATTTCTGCTTACACCACCAATTTCTCTAGCTATATGTGAATATATTATCACACCCCAGCATTTACTTTCAATAATTTCAGTATTAATACTGTCACTTTCTCACTTATTAATGTGTTTGCTGTACTTGCCCAGAAGTTATATTTCATTTCTTTAAATATTTTTCATTTAATTAAAGAACAGTGATTTACAAAGTTATTGGTAGTTGAATTTTAGGCATATACTATTTCAGCAGTTATCTTTTTTATTTATTTTTATTTTTTCAGATACTCATCCCTCCACCAGTGCCCATTTCCCACCACCACGGATCCCAGTATCCCTCCCACCCCCCATCCCTCCCATCCCACCCTGCCTCTTTGGCAGGACATTCCCCTTTCAGCAGTTATCTTTACAAATTACTTTATTCACTTTAAGAATTGGAGTCAGGAATGCTAATTGGTCCAACCTTTCTGGAGTACAATACGGCCATTCCGTAATAAAACTAGAAATTGAACTTCCATAAGACTCATCAATACCACTCCTAGGAATATATCCCCGTGTCCCAAAAACACAACGCAGAAATGCCATATGGACTTCTTTGTTCATTGTTACACTATTCACAATAGGCAGAATCTGGAAACAACCAAGTGCCCGAGAACAGATGACTGGATAAAAAACTAACTACAGTATATCTACACAATGGAATGTTATACAGCTGTTAGGAAAAATCACTGTCACTGTCCTCCCATTGTTCATTGATTTGCTCGAGCAGGCCCAGTAACGGCTCCATTGTGAGACTTGTTGTTACTGTGTTTTGGCATAAGAATACATCACGGGTAGCTTGCCAGGCTTTGCCGTGAGGACGAGAGACTCTCGGTAGCTTGCTGGGCTCTCCGAGAGGAGTGGAGGAATCGAACCTGGCTCGGCCGGGCCAACTGCATGCAAGGCAAACGCCCTACCACTGTGCTATCACTCCAGCCCTTAGGAAAAGTCAAGAAATTTGCTTATACATGGATGGACATACTGAGTATCACGCTGAGTGAAATCAGTCAGAAGGAGTGGGACAAACAGAATGATTGCACTTTTTATGGGATCACTTGATCACTTGATACCCCGTTACTCATCAATTTATTCGAGTGGGTGCCAGTAACATCTCCATTCATCCCTGTTGCGAGCTAGCGTAGTCCAATGGCATCTACTCGTTCTAGGAACATGCAGAGCCTCAAACCGATCATTCAGGGTCTTGATGAAGAAGTCTGACCATCTTGTAGGTGGGCGTCCACGCGATCTTTTGACATCCTGTGGAATCCAGTCAGTAATGGCTCTAGTCCAGCGGTCATCTCTAAACCTCATTTCATGTCCAGCCCATCTGATTTTTGATGCCTTGGCAAATGAGACAGCGTCCCTGATTCTTGAGCACTGACAGAGAGCGGAACTCCAGATTCTATCTCTCATTTGAGTGAAGCATGATACTCCAAGGATAGCTCTTTCGATTTCTCTTTGAGAGAGCCAAACAGCGTTCTCATCCTGTTTTCATAGGGCCCAGGTCTCTGAGGCATATGTTAATGCAGGAAGAACAGTGGAATTGAAGAGATGTGCTCGGAGTTGGAGGTTCTTTGTCCTCTTAGTTATTTCTTCAACGCTCTTGAAGGCATTCCAAGTCACTCTCTTCCTCCTGCGTAACTCAGGTTCCAGGTCATTCATCATGTTGATTTCTCGACCTAGGTATGTATAACTGTTGCATTTGGAGATGGTGGTTCCGTTGAGAGTGAATGGAACATCAGGAACAAGACTGTTTCTCATGAACATTGTCTTTGTGAGATTCAGTTGTAATCTGACCTTTCCACACTCCAGGTCGAAGTCGGTCAGCATTTGTGCCACTTGGCTGATGTTTGGTGTTACTAGAACAATGTCATCAGCAAAACGGAGGTGGGTTTAGTTGATGACCCTCTATCTTCACTCCCATTCCTTCCCATTCCAGTGGGATATAAAAAACAAAACCATAGTATGTGAATAATACCAAAGATAGCAACAAGGGCCAGGAGGATTGGTCCATGGTAAGAAGCATGTCATCAAGGGGAAGGGGGGAGTGCAGTTAGGACAGAGAAGGGATCAGTATGACAATAATAATTGGAAATGGTCACTCTGGACAAAATCTGAGTGTTGAAAGGAAGTAAAGCAATATGCATGATACCCTTTCGGTAATAGTATTGCCGACCATAGTTCCTAAAAGGAAAATGAAAGAAGAAAGAGAGAAAAGAGATAAAAGAAGAGAGGGGGAGGGGGAGAAGTGGTGAGAAGGGGGAGGATGGGGAAGAGGGAAGAGAAAGGAGGGGTGGAGACAGGAGGGGAGGTAGGAGGAGATGAAGAAAAAGGAAGAAGAGAGAAAGAAGGGGTGGGGGAAGGAGGAGGAGGAAAGGGAAGAAGAAAGGAGAAGAAAAAGGAGGAGGGAGAGAAGTGGGAGGAGTAGGAGGACGAGAAGGAAGAAGAGAATGAGGGAGAAGTGGAAGAAGAGGAGGAGGAGGGTAGAAGAAGAAAGAGGAAGAAGAAAAAAGAAGGAGGAGGGAGGAGGAATGGGAGGAGGAGGAGAAGGATAAGAAAGAGGAGAAGGAGGAAGAGAAGGAAGAACAAGGAGGAGGAGGAGGGTCCGCCATAGATGCAGGGAGGGAGAGAAATAGTAAGAGAGAGAGAGAGAGAGAGAAGAGCGTCTGCCATAAATGAAAGCAGGGAGGGAAAGTGGGGACATTGGTGGTGGGAAATGTGCATTAGTGAAGGGATGGATGTTGAAGCATTTTATGACTGAGAATCATGAACAATTTTGTTTAACTGCATATCTCTCGGTGGTACAATAAAACAAAATTTTTAAAGAATATGAGCACTATAAAAGGAATTGTGCTGGAGCAATAGTGTATTTGCTCAATAACAATAGTACAATAGTACATTTGGTAGGATGTTTGCCTTGCATGCAGCTGACCTGCATTTGATCCCAGGCATCCCATATGGCCCCCCTAGCACTTCCAAGAATAATTCCTGAATGCAGAGCCAGAAGTAATCCCTTAGTATTACAAGATAATGACCCAAATACCTCCTTTCCCCAAAAAATGTGCTAGAGCTATAGCAATAGTACATTGGGTAGGGCACTTGTCTTACACACAGCCAACCTAGGTTCGATCCCCTACACCCCATATGGTGTCCTAAATTCCACCAGGAGTGATCACTGGGCCCAGAGTTAGGAGTAATCCCTGTCACTGCAGGGTGTGACTCTTCAAAAAAAAGGCAGGGGGAAATCTTGTTCTTTTTGAAATGTGCCAGTCTCTGTGGTGTGAGATAATACCTCATTGTTTTTTTATTTGCATCTCACTGATGATTAGTGATGCAGAACATTTCTTCATGTGCCTTTTGGCCACTTATATTTCTTCTTTGAATAAGTTTCTGTTCATCTCTTCTTCCCATTTTATCATGGGGTCAGATATTTTGTTCTTGTAAAGTTCTACCAGTGCCTTGTGTATGTTGGATATTAACCCCTTATAAAATGAATGATGAAGAAACTATAAGGAAACTATGGTATATGTACATAAAGGAATATTACTCAGCCATGAGGAAAGATAAAGTCAAGCAGCTTGCTGCTATGTGAAGGGACCTGGAAAGTATTATGCTGAATGAAGTTAGTCAGAGGGAGAGAGATAAGACACAGAATGATCTCTCTTATATGAGGGTATAAGGAAACATAATAGGGGAATAACTAACGCCCAAAGACAGTGAAAATAAAGAATATGACAACTGGTAGTCACTAGGAAACATACCACCTGAGGGGGTTGGAAGATAGGACAGGGAGAGGGCAACAACTAGAGGAGGAAAGATCAAATGGGAGGAGGTGCTGAAAGGTGGTAAAGCGTTACACTGAAACCCTGTAAGCAGCAGTACAGTAAACACAATGTAAATATATTATATATATATATATATATATATATATATATATATATATATATATATAGTACTCCTCAGAGAGACAGACTGGAAGGGTGAGGAAAAGATGGGAGGAAATTAGTAGAAGGAAGTAGACACTGGAGAAGAGATTGTTGTTAAAACAATGAATGTCTGAATCCCAGTCATGAAACACTTTGTAATTTCACAGTGACTAATAAAAAAGGAAAACGAAACAAGACAGTGAATCTGCAGATGTGTGCAAGAAATACTATGTCATGTGAAAAAAAGAAAAAGAAGAAATGTGCTAAAGTACCAAGGTTATGTTTAAGAACAGAATTCAGCTGTCTCTTCACCTCTAGGACAGTCAGTGGACCTGAAGCACAACAGCCAGCCTGGCTAGGCCCCCAGAAGACCCTAACTAGGGCCTGGAACACCACCCACACTGCTACGCCCCTCCATGGTCCAACAAATTCATGTCAGAACAATACACTCAGAACTGAGCCATCTCGCCCTCAGGTCAGTCAGAAGTCCCCAAAGTATGCCAGAAATAGGATACATGGACATTCTAACTCTAGATGCCCATCCACATAATAACACACAAAGCTCATCTCCAGGGTTCAAAAGGCAGTATGGGAAAGAAACGCAGAACCACACCACAGTCACCAAGATTGTAGCCCTGAAGACTCAACCAATGATAACCAGTTATATGACCTCTCTGATAAGGACTGTAGAGAGGAAATGCTGAGGATGTTTAAGGATCTAAAAGAAAGAATGGAACATCCAGTAAAACACAAGAGGATATGAGAGTAGAAGTTAGAAAACTACAAGCAGAAATGACAAAACTAAGGAATTTGGTAGGTGAAATGAAAAACTCATGGGAAAGCCTCAGCAGCAGAGTAATAGTAGAGGAAGACAAAATCAATGAACAAAAACAAGAGAATTCTGGGATGAAATCAAGAAAAACAACTTAAGAATCATCGGGGTCCCAGAGGGACAGAAGGTAATACTCATGAAGAAGCAACAGTCAAAATTATCATTGCTGAGAAGCTACCAGAGCTAGAGAGCACTGGCACCAGGATCCAAGAGGCTTGAAGGGTATCAGCTAAAGGATATCAAAATAAAAGTACTCAAAATTTACAGCCTAATCAGAATGATGAATGTCATAAAGATAGAATACTTTAAACAGAAAGATCAAAGAGAAATTACATGCAAAGGAGTATTATTAAGATTTAAAGCAGATTTACCATATGAGACCATCTGGGCTTGAAGATAATGGTGGCATGTAGTTTTAAAAACTGAATGAAATGAATGCTTCAGCAGAAATACTTTACCCAGCCAGACTCTTAATCAGATTTAAAGAAACAATACACAACCTCATTGACAAACAACAGCTCAGGAGCTTCATAGACTTGAAACTATATTTACAAGAAGAACTAAAAGGGCTTTTCTAAGACAAATCTCACAAATACAGCAAATTTCTACAGAAAGATGACACAAAAGTCTGTAACAATAATCTCATTCAAAGCCAATGGCCTAAATGCACCAATTGAGAGAAACAAAGTGGAAGGAAGGATGGATGAGAAATCAAATACAACCCCTGCTGCTTAGAAAAAGCACATTTGGACAGTAAGGGCAAACAAAACCCCAAAATCAAAGGTTGGAAGGCAATATTTCAAGCAACAAAAGCCACAAGGGCCATTTCTTAATTATGAAGGGATATGTCCATCAGGAAGAATTTACACTCCTAAACATATATGCACCTAATGAGGGACCAGCAAAATACATTTTAAAAAAACTGCTGAACACTGTCGATGTCAGTACTCACCAAAACATTATACACAAATTCAGTGCAGTGCCTATAAGTATACTCATGATGTTTTCCAAAGAAAGAGATCAAACATTCCTGAAATTTAGATGCAACAATAAATCAACCCGGAACAGCTAAAGCAGCGTGAAAAAGAAGATGGGAGATGTCACGTTCCCCAACTTTACACTGTACTAGAAAGCAGTAGTAATTAAAAGTGTGGTACTGGAAAAAGGACAGATGCTCAGATCAACGGAATAGAATGGAAAACTTAGAGGTAGACTCTCGAGTATATGGTCAATTAATATTTGATAAATGAGCAAAAAGTATAAAGTGGAGCAAGGAAAGCCTCTCCAGCTTTCAGTGGTTGGGAAAACTGGCCACATGAAAAAAAAAAGAACTCAGACCTCCTTCTAACATCAAAATGGATTAATGACCTAGATATCAGACCTGATTCCATAAGGTATATAGAGGAAAATATAAGCAGAATTCTCCATGACACTGAAGCTAGAGGTATCTTTAATGATGAAATGCCACTGACCAAACAAGTAAAAGCAGCTATAAACAAATGGGACTTAAACTAAGAAGCTTACCACTTACCTCTGCTATCAAGTTTCCTAAGATGTACAGAGATTGACCCCACATATGAGGCAATTTGCCCATGGGCACTCGGTCCACAGTATGGGGATTTTGATATTCTTCATCAACCTGAAAGAAAAGAGGCAACATTGGGAGGCAATATATTTAAGGAGCTAGATGATACATGAGGCCTTGGGTTTCATCCCCAGTACCAAAAGCAAACAATAAAGGATACCAGATAACAAGATGGCTGAGTATAGACTGTGATTCCTATCCTATGAAAGTAATATACAGAAATGCTCTGAAACATTAAGCACCTGACATACAATCTAGGACAATGCCCTCATCCCGCATCAATATCACCTATATGTACGTGCAAATCAACCAAGGAACTGATCTAATGGGGTGGATAGGGCCTCAAACTTGTATTTCTAACAAGCCTTCAGGTAAATCAATTTATGTTGTTTGGAATTTATTCTATGCATCTCCACCAGAAAGGAAGACTATCTTTCCAATGCTATTTGGGAAGGGGGTGGAATCACACCTAGTGGTGCTCAGGTCATACTCCTAGCCCTGCACTCAGGGATCACTCATAGCAGTGCTCAGGCAACCAATCGAACCTGGGTTGGTTGTGCACAAGGAAAGTGCTGTACCTGTTGTATTTTCCCTCTGGCCCTAACTAATTCTTTTAATAATGCAGGAAAGGAACAATGGCTTGGTCTTGCCCTTGACTCACTATGAAACTGCCGTAATTGAAAACTTCTAAAAAATTTATTTCAAAGAAATACAACCATATTTATATTTTTCCATACCTGCGGGTAGAGCATTTGCCTTGCGTGTGGCTGACTGGGGTTCGATTCCTCTGTCCCTCTTGGAAAGCCCAGCAAGCTACCAAGAGTATCCCGCCTGCACAGCAAAGACTGGCAAGCTCCCCATGACGTATTCGATATGCCAAAAACAGTAACAACAAGTCTCATAATGGAGACATTACTGGTGCCTACTCAAGCAAATCGATGAACAAAGGGAGAACAGTGCTACAGTGTTAAAGTCACATTTTAGACCATTAAGGCCAGAAGATTAAAAATTATTTAACTGGGGGCTGGAGATAGGACAGTGGGCAGGGCATTTATTTTGCATGTGACCAATCCATGTTCAATTTCTCAAGCCCTCCAGGAGTGAATCCTGAACACAGAGCCAAGAGTAAGCCCTGACCACTGACTAGTGTGGCACCAAAACCAAAAAGTCAATACATTATAAAAAATTTTGAAGAGTTATTTAACTCAAATAAGGCAGTCCTATTAAGTTACTGCTCTTCTCCTGGTTCCATACTATAACATGATCAAGTCTCACCTTGTCAAAAGGAACGCTGTACAGCTCTGGCAGAAGAAGAACTCCATTTTTGCCCTTGATGAGCACTGCTTCAAGAGCCTCTCTATACTCCTGAACCTGTAGATAAAAGGATAAAACACTATTACTCTTTGAGGACCTAGAGGAGGGTTGAAGCTAAAAGTGTCCTATTGAAAAGGAGCATATTCATCAAGTAAAGATGTGAAGAAAGGGAAGCAGCATTTATTACATGCTCAGTATAGGACAAACATTACACTATGAATTTTGCAGACTTTAAGGCATTTAGTTCTAATAATCATCCAAGTAGGTACACATACACTAAAGCCCTTTGACAAGGAAATTAAGGTTCAAAGAGATTGTGAGTGCGTGACTATAATGCAAGTGTGAATCCAGATCTGTGAGCCCAACACAGTCTGCATACATAGGTCTGGTTTTATCCACAATTTATCACCCTAAGTAAAGTTTATTTTATTTATATGTACTGGCTTTTAAAACTGAATTTTACCTACAAATAAAGATTCACTTATGACCAGGTTTAGATAGTTTGGTTAATAGCTTGCTACACAGCAAATAGTAGTGCATAAAAAGTAAAAATTAAAAGTATAATTTATGGTGGAAATCAGTTCTGCTGAAACTATTATTGTTTTGAAACAAAAAGCTGTTTTACTGTGTTTAATATATTAAGAAACAATTTAAGCATCATGAAACTTTCACATCTGCCTCTGAGTCACATAAGAATACACAGAACAGATATATACCCCATATACACACACAACTCAGGCCAATGAGCTAGCCCCATCCCCACGTGGTGTTATAACTTTCCACCTCAATTCAGATAATCCTCCTTCCACCACTTCATAATCCCAAATTGCCATCTTCTCATGGCCACCCTGGCTTCACAAGTCTGTGTCTACCCTTCTTTTTAACTTCACATCCTTTCTTTTAGTTTTGTTTTGGGGCCACATTCGGCAATGCTCAGGGATTACTCCTGGTTCTGCACTCGGGAATCACTCCTGGAGGTGCTTGGGATGCCAGGGATTAAACCTGGGTTAGCTACCACAAGGCAAGCGCCTTACCCACTGTACTATCTCTCTGGCCTTTTTTTTCTTTTTCTATACTGGTCTATGTCCTTTTGCCCTTTGTGCTCATTCTTATGTTATCTCCTTTGCCTGTCCTCTTCTTCTGGTTCCTATTTTGGGCAAAGGAACTAGGCACTTGAGTTGACAGGAACAAAAGTACACAAGCAAACTTCAGTATCTTTTTCCAAGGGACAAGTGGTCCTATTTAGTATTCAGATATATCTTGACCACTTAATATATATATTAATATGTATATTAATATAATATATATAAAGCTGTGATGGTATTTTTTATAAGATTCTTGTCACTGTACTTAATGCTGACAAACGTTGAAGTGTTGTGTTTTTAACTCTATAATCCGTATAATTCTTATTCATACATATGCAGAGAAGGATGATCTTTTAGGAATATAGGTCTCATTATAGCCCAACTAAAATATGCTCAGTACTTGTATTTGTGACAAGTCTTTATGAAACATAAAGAAATTGAGAGTTTTGTTCTTCCTCACTAAAAAGAGAAAAACTATTTGCGCCATATGTACAGAGAAGCCACTGATTTGGGCTTTATTGGTTACTAGTGAAGCCAGCAAAAAAAGAGAAAAATTAACTTAGTTCCCCAATTCTTAACCTGGTGCCCTGTCCTTGTAGTCTCTTGCATTTGGACACAGGATTGGCACAGCTTTATGTTAATTTAAAGAGGAAAATATCAGAGCATTCTGCCCTGGCATATTACCTGTTCAGTATTGCCACTGAAGATCCCATCAAGGATAAAGTATGTCCAGAACAATGGCCATTCACACTCAATATTTTCAAATAACTTCAGTTCAGCTGGTTCATAGTACAGACGATTGGGATCCTGTTAAAAATATAGTAAACAAAATCTGTCTCATCATTTTCGGGTTGTAATGTCAATGCAAGTTCCTTTTTCCCCTCAAAATTTATTTTCCCCTTCGCTCCCCCTTGTTACTGCTCTGACAATGAGGTCATACATACATGGCTGTGGTGTGCTCACACACTTTAAGTTGTCATGCTGACAGAATTGGGTGGGGGCTGTTCACATTTTAGTTATAATAATTACATACACATTTGTGAATAAGGCTTGTTGGGGTTTCCAAACCTGGATATAGTATGTGCTTGGTCACTGAGTTGCAGTGCTGCTATAAATCACACACTCTACTGCCATACTGGGGATTACAATCTTAGCAGTGCCACAAGGAACACAGTGGCATGAAGAATGGTACCAGAGATTGAACCTAGGGTCTTAGGCTTGCAAGGCAGGAGCCTTAACACTGAAATATCTCTGGGTCCATGACAGTGCTTCTTATTGATGACTTGTTCCCTATAATAGTACTTCCTTTACCCGCATTGAGAATCCTAAGAAGAATTGGGGATTGGTGAGGGATATATGCAGCTATATTCAGTGGGTACATGTGAAACTAGGAATTAAATTGAGGGTCTTATACATGCAAAACATGTGCTCTATGACTTGAGTCACATTCCCAGTACAAGGAGGAAAAGTGGAACAAAAGGAAGTTAACTTTTCAAGACCAAAAACAAGACACTGTCCTCCCGTTGTTCATTGATTTGCTCGAGCGGGCCCTGTAACATCTCCATTTTGAGACCTGTTGTTACTGTGTTTGACATATTGAATACGTCACGGGTAGCTTGCCAGGCTTTGCCATGAGGGTGAGATACTCTCAGTAGCTTGCTGGGCTCTCCAAGAAGGGTGGAGGAATCGAACCCAGCTCAGCGAACCCAGCTCGGCCGGGCTGGCTGCACACAAGGCAAACGCCCTAGTGCTGTGCTACCGCTCCAGCCCATATAATGTTTAAAATTTTCTAACTGCAATAGGTGGAAAGGGAACCAGAGAAATAGATTTATGGAAAAACTTTTCCCTTCATAATGATTAAGTATTGGGGAATTTTTGTTACCATGAAAATATTCCTACATTTGCTTAACCTTTTATCCACTTTTTCCAACATCATCAGTGGCGCATTCCTTAAACTGACTGTAAGAGATGGAAGAACTGCACCTTCCTCTATTTTATTTATCGCAGAAACACTCACAAACCAAACTTGGTATCTAAGTCCAACAAAAGTAGCAAATATCAGCTTTCATCATCCTATTTAGTGATGAACAGCACCATCAGTGAAGTAAGTATTTTCTCTAAATGAGATTGTAGACAGAAGGCACCACTGTACCTAATTTTCAGGGAAAAAGGAAGCTACCTCTTTAGGAGTTTTATATCCATCTCGGAGAAAACGACAGCAACCATAACGACCCTGCAAATATAGGGGGAAAGGTCAGAAAGTTGTACATTGCTATAGCCATATTGTTAATTAGAATTATATCCTCTTCAGTATCTACATGTGCCAACCTATCAGCTATACAGACACCATTACATAAAATACAACTAAACAAAGAACCTTGAAACTAGCCCAGAAGCAGAAACTGATTTCAGCAATGTGATCTAATGTAGATAATTGACAAATTATTCCCTAAAACAGAATTTCTAGTATTATAATAAATCTGATAGCATAATTCCTAAGCCCGCTGACAGTTCACACAGAAATAAACTACACCTTTAAAAACAGAAAACATATTTTTGAAAAATGAAATAATCTTTTTCATGTAGAAATATTCTGAGACATAAAGATGAGTTGAAAACTTTTACAGAGCAATATTCTTCAACCACTGGACCTTAGATTTACATCTTCCATAACCACAGAATATGAAAACAGAATAAAAATCAACCTAGGTATGACACCATTAACTGAAACTAAAATATAGAACTTATTTGGATTTCACTAATTTTCTGTTAATTGCTTCTTTATTTCTAGTACCTAATTCAGGATCTCATGCATTTAGTCGTCATGTCCTTAGTCCCTTCTAATCTGTAGCAGCCATTCCTCTTTCCTTGTTTTTAATCCCCATGACACATTTTATGGGTGCTCATGAGTTCTTTTGTAGAATGACCTTCAATTTACTTTTGTCGTAATATTACATATTATTGTGGTAACTACCACAGAGATGCCATACTCTTCAGTGAACTATAACAGATGGTACATACATGATGTCAATATGTGTTGTTATTGATGATAGCAACATACTGATCACTTGTTTAAATCATTGATATATTCTAAGGGCCAAAATATATTAATTTCTCTTAAAGTCATAGCCCTAAGAAAAAAGACACAAACAGACATACCTGAAGCTTGGTGATAATCTCCTGTTTGGTGAGTTCTACCAACTGGTTGTCCTCTACAGCAAAGGCTGGGTAGGAAATAACTGAAAGTAGACTTGCATCAACCTCTTTAGATGTTGAAGCCCGGGGGAGTATAGAATTAAGAATAGACTATGAGAAAGAAAGTCAAATGTGATACATTATTAAACTAAATCAAATGTTATAAATTGTTCAAAATATTTATATGGAAGAGTATAATTCTGAATAGAATCAAAACCGTATTTGATAGGGAACAGCTTAGAAACTAGTTATATCTGTAAGTTATCCCTTGTCTTAACCTTGCTTTCAAAACTTCCTCATCTGTTTCTTTTTTTTCTTTCAACACAGAAATCATATTATCAGAGAGGTAGAAGAAAGTTTGGAGGAGCTTAATGAAATACTGTAGAGCTATATTGTGAGACTTTGATAATGAGCTGGTATTGTAACATACATCTTGAGGTATTGTGAAATTATACCTCTAAAATATATATAATTTTTAAGGTAGTAGCACTGTTCTCCCAATGTTCATCGATTTGCTTGAGCGGGAACCAGTAATGTCTCCATTGTGAGACTTGTTGTTACTGTTTTAAATTTGTTCATTTTTCTATTCTTAGTGGATCACCGTGAGGTACAATTAGAGTTATAAACTTTTGTGCTTGCATTCCAGTCACACAATGATCGATTACCCATACCTCCACTTAGTGCCCATTCTCCACCACCAATAATCCCAGTATCCCTCCCACCACCCCTGCCCTGTCCCCCACCCCCCGCCAACACCTCTGTGTCAGGGCATTTCCCTTTTGTTCTATCTCTCCTTTTGGGTGTTGTGGTCTGCAAAAGAGGTCTTGAGTGGCCATCATGTTTGGTCTACCTTTCAGCATCATAGATAGATAGATAGATAGATAGATAGATAGATAGATAGATAGGAGATAGATCCATTTCTATCTCCCATCCCGAGTGGGTCCTCAGAACACCCTTTACCTGGTGTTCCCTTATCTATCTAATCTGTCCTCTCCCCCAACATGTGAGGCCAGTTTCCAAACCATGGAGCTAATCTCCTGGTACTTATCTCTACTATTTTTTGGGTGTTAGTCTCCCATTCTGTTTATATCCCACAAATGAGTACAATCTTTCTATGTTTGTCCCTCTCTTTCTGACTCAATTTACTTAACATGATACTTTCCATATTTATTCACTTATATGCAAATTTCATAACTTCATCTTTTCTAACAGATGAATAGTATTCCATTGTGTAGATGTACCAAAGTTTCTTTAACCAGTCATCTGTTCTCGGGCACTCGTGTTTTTTCCAGATTCTGGCTACTGTAAAGAGTGCTGCAATTAACAAACAAGTGCAGATGTCACTTCAACTATACTTTTTTGCCTCTCTGGGATATATTCCCAGGAGTGGTATTGCTGGGTCAATGGGAGCTCAATTTCTAATTTTTGAGAAGCTTCCATACTGTTTTCCAAAAGGGCTGAACCAATCTGCATTCCCACCAGCAGTGAAAGAAGGTCTCTTTCTCCCCACATTCATGCCAAAACCAATTGCTTTTATTCTTTTGGATGTGGGCCTGTCTCTGTGGTGTGAGATGACATCTCATTGTTGTTTTGATCTGCATCTCCCTGATGATTAGTGATGAAGAGCATTTTTTCATGTGTCTTTTGGCCATTCAGATTTCTTCTTTGAGAAAGTTTCTGCTCATTTCATTGCCCCATTTTCTGATGGGGTTGGGTGTTTTCTTCTTGGCTCATCTGTTTCTTAAGCAGACTTATAATCTGCTAAAGGGGAAAAAACCCTCTAGCCTCTTTTCTTTTCTCTTCTACTTTCAAATACACTTTTCTAGCTTCCCAAAACCCCTCTAAGATCATTATTTCATTTAAAATCTTATTTCTCCATTAGCAGCTATCCAAATATTAAGACAAAAGAAAGCCACAATGTGGAAGGTTCTGCTTCTGCTCCCCTACTATTGCTAATTCCCATGTAAATTTTTGCAGTTTTAAAATTACATTGATCAGGTACATGCGTCCTGTAGCTGAAAAACTCCAGGTCTTTTCAGAGCGAGGATGGGAGATTCCCTCTCTCTCCCACCTCCCTCTACTTCAGGAAGCCCTGGCAGCCATGCTCATGTAAGCTCATCTACCGGCCGTGTTCCAGAGACTCAAATAAATCTCAAAAGAGATCACCTACCAGCAAAAAATTTATCGGATACCTGTTCCCAGCTGAAACCTCTGGTGTACGACAGAGTGGGGCTGGCCAGCTCCTGCCCAAAGTCAAGGCAGCCACTCCCACACCACTGTCCATTTAAAAATTTAACTCCAGCCAGACCGCCCAGTTAAGAATTCTGGATTTCCTGGATTGAACAGCCGCATTCATAGCCGTACAACATAGCTCCAATAGCTATTAACACTGACACCACAGTAATAGATGGATGGGATATTACATATAATCAACCAATCTTAACTAACAAAAACATTAACACAGAAGGTCAACTTAAAGTAACACTTTAGAAAAACCCCAGACATGAATTTAATGTCTCCATGGTGAGATACTACAAGTTTCACAAGTTTTTCTCTATGGAAACATTTTTAGATCATTCTGTTAGCCACTTCGTGGTAACAAGCAATATAAAATAAATTATTCTTGGCTTGTTATGGGGGAAGGCTTGAGGGATGATTGGGAAGTGAAGACAATGGTGGAGGGAAGGTGACAACAGTGGTGGGATTGGTGTTGGAATAATGAATGCCTTTAACAAATCATCATGAACAACTTCATAAACTATGATATTTAAATAAAGTGGGGGGAATAAAATAAAATTATAAAGTGAGCTTATATTCACTAAAACACTGTGGGCATTTAATTAGAGTTTGAGAAGATGAAAAAACGTAATTTTGTCAGTGAAAAGAACCTTAATCTTTCAACAGAGAAAAATACAAAACAAAATGAAAATATGTAATACCATTTAAACAGTCTAATCGTAAACATATACCAAAGAGCCAACTGGGGAAATAAGAGTACTTCAGAACTACCACAAGAACACTCGAAATCAGTCACCTCTTGTTCTTTGGCTACATTTAGAAATAAAATGTGCAGAAGCAAAACCCAAGCAGTGAATTTCATATAGCCTGACATGATCTCTTTATAACCCTGAATACTAGAACTTTACTATGATCTAGTTACAGTCCAGGCTACATCGGGCTCGTTTTAGCATAGTTTGCTTGATAAGACTTCTGGAAACATTGTTATAACTCGGATGATGTACCACCATTCAAGACTCCTTCAAAGATGAATCTAAGTTTGGGTAAGAATATATGGAACAGGACACACAAATGAATCTTGGACCTGAACAACTTGCTGCAGAGATGGCTCTGGACTTTGCAATAGGTCACTTTCGCCCGGTCACTCCAGATGGAGGCAGGTGCCGTCCCTCCACCTGCCCCCTAACAATTCCGGTGGCCACCATATTATAGAACTCAGCAAAAGTTTCCAGGTATGTGGTGGTGGTGGCAGCAAATGCAGGCTTCATGGGATATGGGAGGAGTATGCCCTTCTCCTTCTCCCTGCCCTGATGGGACTCTGAGATGACGCCCACATATGGCCACCATCTATGTAAGTTCCCACACGGCCATGATCCAGAGACACACAAACGAATCTTGGACCCAAGCAACTTGTTGCAGCAATCTCTCCAGACCTTAATTATTAAAATTTGATAATTCCTAGAGTGCACAGCCACTCTCCCGACCGTGCGACATTATATTGTATCCATAACAAGCAATACAAAACACATTGTCTAGCAGTGCCTTTTCAGCAGGTATGAGTGGTCGTGGGACTGATCTCAAAATATCGAAGGTAACCAAAGGTAGAGAAAGAGAATATTGGAGTATTGTGTAAATTGTCTCGCCACACAGGCAGGGAGAGGTGTGAAATGGGGAGCGGACACAGGGGATTTTGGTGGTGGAAAACGTGCACTGGTGAAAGGATGGGTGTTTGATGATTGTATGATCAAAGCTCAAACATGAAAGCTTTGTTACTGTACCTCACGGTGAATCAATAAAAAGGGGGAAATAATAATAATAATAATAATAATAATAATAATGAATACATGGAAAAATATATTCAAATCTGGGCACAAACTAAAAGGAAGACAGCAGAGGTTTAAGTCACCCATAAAATTGTGAAATACTGTATAGTTTTAGCCCGTCTACATTCCAGCCCCAACACTGTGGCAGAATGAAGAGACTAAACGGCTGAAGAAATCAGGCCCATGCAATGCACAAAAGTGGTATGTTTATTATTTGGGTTTGGGGAAAATTCCTTAGCAAAGCTAGGGGTTAACAGGGCTAACAGGCAGTTCTAGGGAGGCAATGAGGTTCTAGGGATCCAATTCATGCCCTTCTGCTTGTCAGGCATGCATGCTATCTGAGCCATCTCTCCAGTTCTAAAAGAGACATTCCTTTTCTTTTTTTGATTTTCTGGGTCACACTCGGTGATTCTCAGGAGTTACTCCTGGTTACTCCTGGCTCTGCACTCACAAATTACTCCTGGCGGTTCTTGGGGAACCATATGGGATCCAGGGATCAAACTCAGGTTGGCCATACGCTAGGCAAACACCCTCCCTGCTGTACTATCACTCCAGCCCCTGCGCCCCCCCCCCCAACAGACATCTTAATGATACATTTTATCTTCTTAATCTTGCATTTCTTCTTCTTATATTTTGGGGTTTTTTTTTGGACACACTGATATTCTTAGGGACCACATCCTGTGGTTCTCAAACAATGCTCCTAGGGTGGATGATCATGTAGAACTATGCATCAAATATTGGTCTCCTACATGCAAATTATGCACTCTAGCCCATTGAGCTCTCTCTCGAGCCACGTTCTAATATTTGTTAACACACTGCTTGCATCTGTCACAGAACTAACAATTCCTTGAGTTCAAGAATATATTTCTTGGACAGCATTCAGCTGAAGAGAAGAACAACATGGAGGGCGGGATCCACAGATCCCGAAGGGGAAAAAAAAAACAGTTTCCAAAAAGAGCCGAGATCATCGGGAAGTCCGAGATGGGGTAGGTACCGCATCCCGCCTCCCCCAGATGGAACCCCGGTGACCAGAAACCTCTACAAGCACAGCTCGAGTATGCGGGAACTAGGACTTTTCCTGAAAACCGCGCGGCCGCTTATGTGGCCGCGCGACATCTCTCTATATACAAAGTGATCCATGGGAAGTAAACCACCTAACGTTTCTCTCTGAAAATCATAGTTAAGCTTTGAGCACGGCCACACGCCCAGAAACACAAGGACTTAATGCATAACCCAGCAGCTTGGAGCAGAAAAGTGAACGGGCTATGTGTTAACCCAGGCCATCAAGTCTGCCAGAGGGGAAAGGGTGTTGGTCCCTTCCGCCCTCCTCCCTCTGGAAAGAAAGGTGGCGGCCACATGGGAGCCTTGTGGACAGCAGGTATGAGCCGGGGGTGTGGGGGCGACTAAAACCTCATGGGAAGGGGGGCGTTCCGGTCCGTCCTTCACGCCCTACCGAGGCCACCAGCTGCCCCCCACGTGTGGCTCTCCAGCACGGCCACAGCCCCAGAAGCACAAGGACTTAATGCAGAACCCAGCAGCTTGGAGCAGAAAAGTGAACGGGCTATGCGTTAATCCAGGCCATCAAGTCTGCCAGAGGGGAAAGGGTGTTGGTCCCTTCCGCCCTCCTCCCTCTGGAAAGAAAGGTGGCAGCCACATGGGAGCCTTGTGGACAGCAGGTATGAGCCGGGGGTGTGGGGGCGACTAAAACCTCATGGGAAGGGGGGCGTTCCGGTCCGTCCTTCACGCCCTACCGAGGCCACCAGTTGCCCCCCGCGAGCGGCTCTCCAGCACGGCCACAGCCCCAGAAACACAAGGATTTAATGCAGAACCCAACAGCTTGGAGCAGAAAAGTGAACGGACTATGCGTTAATCCAGGCCATCAAATCTGCTGGAGGGGAAAGGGTGTTGCCCCATTCGCCCTCTCCTCTCTGGAAAGAAAGATGGCAGCCACATGGGAGCCTTGTGGACAGCAGGCATGAGCCGGCGAGTGGGGGCGACTAAAACCTCATGGGAAGGGGGGCGTTCCAGTCCGTCCTTCACGCCCTACCGAGGTCACCAGTTGCCCCCCACGAGCGGCTCTCCAGCACGGCCACAGCCCCAGAAGCACAAGGACTTAATGCAGAACCCAGCAGCTTGGAGCAGAAAAGTGAATGGACTATGCGTTAATCCAGGCCATCATGTCTGCCAGAGGGGAAAGGGTGTTGGTCCCTTCCGCCCTCCTTCCTCTGGAAAGAAAGGTGGCGGCCACAGGGGAGCCTTGTGGACAGCAGGTATGAGCTGGGGGTGTGGGGGCGACTAAAACCTCATGGGAAGGGGGGCGTTCCGGTCCGTCCTTCACGCCCTACCGAGGTCACCAGTTGCCCCCCACGAGCGGCTCTCCAGCACGGCCACAGCCCCAGAAGCACAAGGACTTAATGCAGAACCCAGCAGCTTGGAGCAGAAAAGTGAACCGACTATGCGTTAATCCAGGCCATCATGTCTGCCCGGAGGGGAAAGGGTGTTGGTCCCTTCCGCCCTCCTCCCTCTGGAAAGAAAGGTGGCGGCCACATGGGAGCCTTGTGGACAGCAGGTATGAGCTGGGGGTGTGGGGGCGACTAAAACCTCATGGGAAGGGGGGCGTTCCGGTCCGTCCTTCACGCCCTACCGAGGCCACCAGTTGCCCCCCGCGAGTGGCTCTCCAGCACGGCCACAGCCCCAGAAGCACAGGGACTTAATGCAGAACCCGGCGGCTTGGAGCAGAAAAGTGAAAGGACTATGCGTTAATCCAGGCCATCATGTCTGTCCGGAGGGGAAAGGGTGTTGCCCCAGTCGCCTTCTCCTCTCTGGAAAGAAAGATGGCGGCCGCATGGGAGCCTTGTGGACAGCAGGTATGAGCCGGGGGAGTGGGGGCGACTAAAACCTCATGGGAAGGGGGCGTTTCGGTCCGCCCTTCACGCCCTACCGAGGCCACCAGTTGCCCCCCACTAGTGGCTCTGTAGCACGGCCACGACTCCAGAGCACAGAAACCAATTTCTTAACTATCTGACTTTCAGTAGAAATACTTCCAGGGTCAATAAGTAAAATAGCAGAAATCCAAAACCAACATTTAATTCTTGAACCCAGCTGTAGAAAGCAAATCACGTCACAATACTTTTTCAGCATGTCTGATTTGGGGGGGGGTAAACTCTAAATAATAGTGGTGAATCTTTTATTGAAACAATGAATCTAATCAAAGCAGATAGAGTGTCAACTAGAATTCATCTGCCCCACAGGGACTGGGAGGGGTGGGGGGTGGGGTTTTATTGGGGTTCTTCATGGTAAAAAAAAAGTATTGGTAAAGGGAAATGTGTTTGATATTTGCATGACTGAGACCTAAACCTGAAAGCTTTGTAACCTTTCCCACGGTGATTCAATAAATAAAAAAAAAAAGAGAAAAAAAAAAGAATACATTTCTTTTTCTAGAGAGGTGTTAGGAAATTACCATATGATTTCTTAAGACTTTTGCTACTTATAATAACTACTTTAACATCTATTCTTTATTGAGACCTGCCCACCTGTTGCAACTCTATATTACCTGTAACCCAATCCAACAGTATATAAACTGGGTGGTAGGAGGTGAGATTTGAGGAGAAATTTTTCTTGCCACATTATTTTTCCTTGAGCTGGCCCTCAGGGTTGACTCTGAAAATAAAGTTTTCCTTTCCTCTATACAGTGGCAATTATTTATCATCAACAATAAATTCTTTATATAATATACTCCATTATTCTTTTACCTGACAGTGTTGAACTTCATCAGCCAGGACATGGATAACTGACTGGGGCCCACCTTTCACCCCAAACAGGTCAAGTTCATCTAATGCTTCGAGGGCTGCCTGCGAGAAGATAGAAAAGAACAACTTTAATATCAGAATGATATGTATCTCTGCCTCCTCTATACCAATCACCATGTAATTTTGAGTATCTTCAGCAGAATAGAATACACTAACATTTGTTATTCCCAAGGGCCTGTGGGATCTTCTTTCTCTTGTACAAATTGGTGAGGAGAAAGTTTCTTAAAGGCATTTTTTCTTTCTCATCAATCAGGGAAAAGACTTCTCACTTTGGAAAACTCGATGATATCCCTCACCCACTTACAAGCCAACCCCTTATCAGGATATTCTGTGAAGCAGAATACCCAACTAGGAAAAATATTCTGCCTTCCCAGCATGTCTTGGGGCTGGAGCGATAGCACAGCGGTAGGGTGTTTGCCTTGCACGCAGCCAACATGGCCGACCCGAGTTCGATTCCTCCGCCCCTCTCGGAGAGCCCGGCAAGCTACCGAGAGTATCTCACCCGCACGGCAGAGCCTAGCAAACTCCCTGTGACGTATTCGATATGCCAGACACAGTAACAACAAAGTCTCCAATGGAGCCGTTACTGGGCCCGCTCGAGCAAATCAATGATCAACGGGAGGGCCTTTACCTTTACCTTTACCCAGCATGTCTTATAAATGAATCTTATGAATCATTATTTTCTAAATTGTGTTTCCTCACACCTGGACTATTTCTTTCCTAAGACTTCAAAGTTCTAAATGCAGTATTTTTGTTCACCAGGGCATCAAAAACTAAATACTTTGTCTCTTTCTACCTATTTTTTCAAATGTAAATTTTTTCTCTAATGAGAGTATTCTACTTGACTGAATGTTATAAAACCAAAGTCTGCATTAAAGGAGGCAGGGGAAAGAACAAAGAAAGGAGGCAGAAGAAAGAACTCTGGGGGGGTTTTGTCTTTCTTTTAATTTTTTCTCATATACTTATTTTTTAATTGAATCAGTGATAGACACATTTGCAAACTTGTTCATGACATTGTATGACTAAAATGTAATCATGAACAATTTTTAATGCCCTATCTCACGATGATTCAATAAAAAAGTTGTTCATTATTAGATTTTAGTCATGTAATGTTCCAATACCCGTCTTCTCATCAGTGTAATTTTCCAACCACCAATGGTCCCAGATTCCCCACCCCATCCCACAGTCTGTCATTATGGCTGGCACTAAGAAAGGACTCTGTTTACTTCTTTCTTTAGGGAGCAAAGAATTCTAGAAAATTTAAATTAACCTTTTCATTCATGCTATATATGAAATTATTGTATTTTGGATGACAGCCTTCCATATCATCCCAGAGACAGGATGAAAGCTGTAGTATTCTTTTCTCTACAAAGGCTTTTTTTTTTTTTGCTTTTCAGGTCACACCTAGCAATGCTCAGGGGATAATCCTGGCTCAGGAATTACTTCTACTCTGTCAGTGCTTTGGGAGACCATATGGAGTGCTGGGGATCAAACCTGGGTCAGCTGTGTGCATGGCAAATGCCCTACCCACTATACTATCACTCCAGCCCCTCAATACAAAAACTCTTAACAGTGGCCAGACCAATAGTACTATAGGTAGGGTACTTATTTTGCATGCAGTCAACCCAGGTTCAATTCCCAGCATCCCATGTGGTCCTTTGAGCACAGCCAGATGTAATTTCTGAGTGCAAAGCCAGGAGTAACTCCTGGGCATCGCTGGAAGTGGTCTCAAAACCAAACCAAAAAACCTCTCAACAAATAGGGTATAAAAAAGCATATCCCAATACATAAGAAATCCACTATTAATATTACAATTAAAGGTAAAAATGGAAAGGTTTTCCACTATTATCAGGAACAAACAAGGGATTCACTCTCATGTTCTTATTCAATGTAGTACTGCTGCATGAAGTCTGGTCTCAGTGGGGCCACAGGATTTAAAGAGAATCTGTACGAGTTTTTGCTTGGCATGAGCAACTGTCCTACTACTCTTGGCTATAGATTGGGGGGCTGCATTCAAGTATGTTTGATATGTGTGTATACATATATATCACATTTTCTTTATCCACTTATCTGTTATTGGACATATACCTTGTCCAATAATCCTCATACAAGTATTTCTAGATACAGAAATAACTTTATATTTCTCCCTGTGTTTATATTTTTCTGTATATTATTTGCAACTACATATGGTATCATTATAGTTGTGCCATTAAAATTTTCTTTTACTCTCTGTCTTCTTTATTCCATGTAATACCCTTTGCTTTGAATTATGTTACATTTAATATTTACAAAGTTACCTGTGTTTTTATTTATGTTCACTGGAATTTTCTTTGTCTATCTTTCTGTTTTAAATATTTCTGTATCATTTTTCTGTATTGGCATTCTTATAATTAACATAAATTAAATTTCTTTAAAAAATTAGTCTATGTATTTGCCCTTCGGTAGGTAAGTCATAACACACATACTCATTATTTTAATTGATGTGATTAATACTATTCCACCTTTTCTATTTTATGACTTCTTGTTTCCAGAGAAAACAAGAATTAGAATTAAGGCAGTAGGAGTGGAAATGAAAAGAGAAAAGTAGGAAAGCAATAATGATGATGATGAGAATGATATGGAGATGATGGACTGTGAAAGAGATACATAACTGATCTCAAGTTTTGTCAGTAATCTGGAGGAATAAAAGCCTCCTTTTGTTTGTTTTTGTAATAGTAGAGATGATGGGTTTAATTTAAAAATATGTTATTTGAGGTATTTTTGAAATATATTAGTAGAAAAATGCAACAACAGGGGTTCAACACATAAATCTGGAGCTTATAAAAAAAGTTTTAATTTATATACCCATAATTCTTTGGTAAACTCTACATTTTGCCTGTGTTTAAAGTAAAATTCATTTGATAAGTGGGGCACATTTATGTTAAATTTTTATCTATGGTCAAGGTCTTTCTTACCCAAACTTGGTACAAAAAAGCAAATAAAATTACCTTTGCCATGCCAACTGAACTGGCATTCAGTTCTGAAATACCTTGATTGGTCTTGTCTCCACGTTCCCATATCCCAAAGTCCTGGAAAAATAACCAACATACTATTAGCAAGTCATCACTACCAAATGTCAACTAAATTTGAAAAAAACTATTTGAGGGGCTGGAAGGATAGTACAGCAGGTAGGGCATTTGCCTTGCATGTGGCTAACCCTGGTTCGATCTCCAGTATAACATATGGCCCCCCGAACACTGCCAGGAGTAATTCCTGAGTGCAAAAGCCAGGAGTAACCCCTGTGCATTGCCAGGTGTGAGCCCAAAAGGAAAAAAACTATTTAAATAAAAGGCAATCACAAAAGCTAAGTATATGCTAATGACAATAAGTGGGTAGATCCTATAGCTATTTTCCCAGCAGCTTTGAGTTCTATTTAGGGCTTTTAAGAAGTTACAAGACACATTAAAATCCTAAACTCTAAAATTCTAAATTCTAAGAAGTGAAAGGATCAGAGCTAAGAACTACAACTCAGTCTATGACAGTGCTTCTCAAAACAATTCCTCAAAGCATATACCCCAGGAGTCTGGGAGAGGAAGTTTAAATAGTACCCCAGTACTGTACTGCAAACTAATTGTATTCTCTATTGGTAGTGACAATGATCCAGGTGCTAACTTATAAATCTTACACTATTATTTTCATTAATCCTTGTACTTTATAGAAAATAAAGTATGAAAGTGAAAAATTGCAGTCAAGTGACTTACACAAGTAATAAGTGACAGAGCTAGGATTAGAGTCCAAATCCTTACAAAAGGCTACACTTTTAACCAAAGTTCTAAATTCACAGTAAGGAATATAAAAAGAAAACATTTATAATTACATTTTCTAAAAAAATTTAGGTTATGTAGTTTTTCTTTTAAAATTTTAAATTTATTTTAATGCAGACAAAAGCCACAACTGTTGATACAATTCTGAATTGAAATTGATTGGATAGGCCACCAGCAGGTCAACCTGTACCAGCAGAGCGAGTGCATCTACAGTATGATGGTGTCTTCACACTTCTTGATACCCCAAAATTGCCACTGTACCTCTGGCCAGACACCAACAACTTGGGACCAATAATCTTGGCCATTTAATTTCTCAAGAATCTTGGTACAGGTTGACCTGCTGGTGGCCTATAAAGTACAATGATCAATGTGGGAGCCACACCCACAAACCACCTCTAGCTCAGTTATATAAGCTCTTTTATTGGCCTTGCTTCAGAGAACCATAAATCAATCTTAAAAGAGATCAAAAGCTGCAGTTAATCTCAGACCCGCACAAGGATGAATAAACCAGGGTAAATCGGAGAGGGGGATAGGTTAATCTGGTACCCATCCAAGGATGGCCCCCAGCAGCCATTTGCTTCCACAATCTAAAATCGCAGCCATGCCCTTGGCCGGACTCCACCTTCTTGGAATGAACCTCGTAGAGATCTAATCTGCTGAGAATTTGGGTATGTGGGTTTTGTGACAAAGATATTCTGGCTTTCTCATGGTGGGGATGGGCTATCCCCCCACCTCCCTGTACTTCCAGAAGCTTTGGTGGTCATGCCCACACCTCAAAGCTGCCACCCAGTTTAAAAAGTTACTCCAGCCTTACTTTCCCAATAGAAATACTGAACGCTGCCTGAACACACATGATGATGTCTTACTACCTGTATTGCAAACCATAATGCACAAAAGGAGAGAGAGAAGAAAAGTTCATGCTATGGGTGCAAGCTGGATTAGGGGCTTATTAGGGGATGGTGGGAGGGAAACTGAATAGTGGCGGTGGGAACTGTTGAGGATGGGTACTTAGCCATTGTATGAAACCCAGTCATGAACAGCTTTGTAATGGTCTATCTCACAGATACTCAATAAACATATTTTTTAAAGAAAGTGTTTAGATAACAAAGCTTCAGTATTAAAATAAATACGTATAAAATCAACTTTTACATTAAAATTGTGATACCTGATCACAGGGCTGTTAAGTCCTTGTTTAAGAGTTTATTAAGGTAGATGTTTGTTGCTAGTTTAGCCTTCTACGAGTTCCTGACCAAATCTCAAAGAAAATGCATGCCAAGCAGCTAAAATCCCTAGAAACAATGGTTTCCACAGCTGAAAACTCTGGGGCATCCTTGGGAAGTGAGTGATCTGGGTACTGGCCCTGTTGAAGCCTCTGCAGCCACACCCAGACCCCACCAGTGCATCCACACCAAGGGCTCAACTGTACCACTTTATGAATATTCTCTGTAGATACGCCAAACTGCAAATAATTTCATGTATCCCAGAGTCCAAGCTGAGAACTCTAGGGTCTTCTCTGAGTTGGGGTAGGTAACCTTCCCCCAAACAGACCCCTCCCCACTCCGTGTACTCCTGGAAGGCATGAAAGCCAAACCCACCTCCCTTATCAGCCATGTCAACTATTTGGCCCAGAACATAGATAGATCCTCAAGTCTCTGTATTATGTGGCTGCATATGCAGCCATGAAACACCTCCTAACTCCTCAGTACTGAAATTCCAGTAGGAACACACCAAATTAGATGGGAAAGTGTTGGAGTAGAAGGAGCTTAGGTTTATCAGGTTGCACCCATCACAGTGCTCCCGAGTCACTCCCATTACTTTGTCTGTCTGTAACCATTTCTATGCTCTCTTCCCCAACCAATTTGTAAGGTCTCATCCTTCTAGGACACTGAACTTGTACTGTAAGTTAATATTGCCTTTCTCCTCTCCTTGTGTCTTTTGAATAGTTTACTTTTGAAAGAATCCATATTAGGGCATCAAATTTTTGCGTGCTTCGGCTAACTTGCAACATTGCTTTCTGTAAAACTGCTTGGCTGCTTTGCACCTGGGGGAGAGGGGACTTGGAAAGTGAACAGGGCATAACTTCTTTCTAAACCAAGTGTGACAGGATTCAGGTGTATTTACTGTTCCTGAAATGTATTGCCTCAGTAAAGCACCCTGCAGACATGGGTAAAGGATAACTCAGGATGCTGTGGTTGGGGGAAATTGCCCTTTCCTGGAGTGTATTGTCTCACTAAAGCACCCTGCAGACTTGGGTAACTCAAAATGAGGATGGTCAAGGGAGATTACCTAAGGCTTAATGATTCCGACTATAACCTTGCTTGTGCTGACAATCTATGTACTTAAATGCTTATCTTTGAATCTATAGGCTAAGGAGTGAGGTACTTTTAAATGGATTGGTTAAGAAAGTATATGTTGTTACAAATCTATTGGCTATGAAATGTGCGGGCCTTGCTGTAATGGCCAGTGAAGGCCTATATAAGATCCCCTTTGAAGAAGCTCGGGGCTCTCAGCCACTGCCCACTATGGGGTATGCTGTCTAAATAAACCTCGTTTTTACTCCTGCAGGAATTGTGTCTATCTGGTCTCTCCACGCCTCCCAGGGCTAGGGAACTCCCGATCCCAACACTTTAATGCAATGCTCTTTTTATATAGATACAGGAAGATAATTAATTAATATGTTTTGTAACTTAGGAATTGATTGGCTTTGAATATTATTCACTCCTGGGCATCTGCCTTCTCAACTTAAGCCTCAGTTGCCCTCACTTCCTAGCACCCCAACGGCAGGGTCCCGACGTGGGACTGGATGGAACCAGGGCAAGCCGGTAAATTATGTGCTACCCCGGCATCGAGATGGGACAGGCCAAGGTGCCACGATTCTTAACTATAGGTTAAGAGTTTGATCATAGGCAAATGCTGTCATGATCTAAAAGTAACGACGAGACTAGGACCCTGCTGCTAGGAATAGGAAAGATATCTGGCCTGAGCGTTGCAGTCTGAGATCGAGATGGCCCTAGGAGAGCAATTCTATAAGCTCAAAGTATTTCTTACTGTGCCCATACAAAATGATTAATATTATGTATGCTTATATGTTGGTTGGACAAGGAGAGGAGAAACATGTCCTAGAAGCAGTTTTCCTGTGTGTCCTGTGACTAGCTTGGATGAGAATGAACTTTTTCCCCTTCAAACTGCCTTCAGTAAATGATTTCAGTATATTGAGGCAGTCTCCCTTATCTCACAGGAACCTAGCTGGCCTTAGGTATGCAGATCCCAGGTGCTAAGCCAGACCTGATCTTTGGGATGTAAATGCCTGGCTCCAGGAGATATAGATTCCAAGCTCTAGCAGACTGGTCTTTGTTGTGCTAATCCAAGTGCTTGTAGCTTGTAAAAGGTGAGGATGTAAAGAAACAATGTATGTTTTTGCCCTCAATGTTCTTTCTGTAACTCCTTTTGATGACATCACTATATTGAGCCCTTTAGAGGTACTATGATCTATATAAGGGAGATTTCAGGGCTCTCTGGGGGGACATGTGCATCAGAGAACCTGGGAAGATGGGGCTGAGGACAGAAGCTGAGAGAACAAAGGTGCACGTGCCTGAGAGATCCTGGGGCCTCTATGACATACATCTCTTCCATGTAATAAACTGCTGCTAAGACCAACCAGCCAGGCCCCCATTTCCTTCTTTCGCCTGACCATTGCCATTGACCCCTTGGCGCGGGGGAAACGATCTGAGACTACGGAACGCAGGCGGCAGGAGAGATAGACCGCTGGCCCTTTTATTGTTTGTGTGATTACACAGGAAAGCAACATAAAAACCAACTAAATTCAACAAACAAAAATAGTTAACAGTTAACGGAAGGCTTCACTATAATTAAATTTTTTTTATATTGAAATAATCTTTAACATAGTATGGTGAATTTCTTGCATAGGTTCACTTTACTCAACTAATGTTGACACTTGACATAACTAAAACAACATCAAATCTACAAAATTAGTATCAGGTAATAATAGTACCCATACTATGGACTTTATTAGAGTTTTACAGGTTTTTCATTAATTGTAGTTTTTTTTCATATTCCAGGATTCAATACAAAATAGCATGCTCTGTTCTCCATGCCACCTTTGTCTTTCCATTCAGTTACAGTTTCTCAAGTCTTGTCTTTTATGCCTATGACAGTTTTGGAAGATTAATGGTCATATATTTTGTGATCTTTCCTCAATTTAGGTTTACCTGTCTTCTTCTGACTAAATTGAAGTCGTATATTTTGGGATATTATGCTGTGTCCTTGTCAATTTATCATACCAGAGGGTAGATGAAACTGATGTCTGTTTTGTTTTGGGGCCACGTGGTAGTGCTTAAGGCTTACTCCTGGCTCTGTGCTCAGGGATTACTGCTAGTGGGGCTCAGGGGACCATATGGGATGCCAGCGATTGAGCTAAGCTCAGCTACTTGCAATGAAAGTGTCCTACCCACTATACTATCTCTCTAGTCTCAATATAGGTATGTCATCCCTGGTTAGGTTAACCATCATCACTTGGTTAAGGTAGTATCAAGCTATAGTATCTCTACATTATACTACAACTGTTTTCCCTTTGTGATTAATAAATACCTTGAGAGAAATATCTTACAACTACACAAACTACACAAATATTCTATTTATCCTAAAACATCCAACAAGTAATTTAGTATGAACTGGTAGACCCTGCTTGTGAGTGGTATTTCAGGGGTGATTTCTAGCTATTTCATTTTAGTCATTGATTCTCAATTCTTCTCTGAGAAAGCGGTGTCCTTCTCAATACCAATACAAACCTAGGGTTGTCTGAGTTCTTCTCTAGTTTATAATATAATGCTCCACAATTTTGTTATTACTCAAATTGTTCCAGATTTAGCCATGCGAGTTCATCCAGGTTGGGTCCTGTGCTCTTCTGATATGCCCACTCTTATTTAAATACTTCCTCACTATTTGGCATTACAAGATGCTCATGTTTCAACGTGTATTTAACCTGTCCTAGCTTTTGAATAAACCACTTCTTGTAGGGGGAGTGGGATGCCCACACCTGGTGGTCTTCAGGACTTATTCCAAACTCTGCTCAGGAATCATTCCTGCCAGTGTTTGGGAGATTGTATTCAGTGCTGTGGAACAAACCAGGGTCTTCTTCATGTAAGAAAAGTATCTTAAACCCTTGTGCTCGCTCGCTCTCTCTATTAGAATAATCCATATCTATAAGAAACTCAGGCTTCTTTTTTGAGACAATTATAGAATTCAATACTTGTCCACTGGTGTTCATTGTCATGGCAGAGTCACTGAATCTAAGCCTTGTCATTGAACAGAACTAGAAAATATCCATATGCATGCATACACATGTAAACAATGTATTATCTAATTGTCTGCACCTACATTCAATGACTTTCAATATAAAAACTATGCAAAAGTGAAACTAGTCTCTCCTGCCACCAAATTCAGGGCTACCCTGGCCTGAAGATGAGGAAGGAGGATGAGAAAGCACAGATATAATTAATTCTACTACTGTAACCCTTGACTGTAGTGGAGAAGTCAGAGAACCCTGAAACTCTCCCAGAACACAGCAGAAATCAAGGCAATCAGTCAACAATGTCAGGTTGAATCAAATATGTCAATTTTATGCTGTCTAACAAATATGGGATAAGTTCTGGATTTCCCCTCCCTCTTAAAACAATTAAAAGAACTGTTCTATTTATATTAATATCAGTATAATATATTCCCCTATTGTATAATTAGGGAAAGCAATAGCTAAAAGAAACAATGTTAGTTTATGGTATTATCATCTCATATGATAAAAATAGGAAAAATATTTTTGTATATCAAGTATTGAGTCAATATCTACAGATATCACAATAATTGTTTCATTTCTAAGTAGTTAACTTACAAACAATAGTCCCTGAGCATCTTGGTCCCTTAAAGATCACATACCATTAATTTGAAACGTAATTTAGCCCCATGATTGCAAATCCATAACCATATAATATTATAGCTAGAAAGGAATGAAAGATTTTTGATTCTCTTCATCTGTAACTCACCCAGAGAAAAGGCAATCAGAAGATGACAAAGCTTAATAAAGAAGCTGAAAACAATTTCTGTTAGAAGTTTTATAGATTGGTCACTATGAGGGTAAGTATAAAAAGAATGAATGGGTCATCCAGTATTTTTTAAATAACATGTCTAAAATTCATTCCAAAATGAGTACTTACAGCAGTTTTATATGCGGCTTCAATGTAAAACACCAGGTTCTGTATGAAATTGACTTCATCTAAGGTATGGATGATATGAAGTCCTGATGAGAAAGATAACGAAGATAGAAAGCTGATCAATAATCATTATAGGCTTTAGAGGCAGCTATCTTAACTAACCACACTATTTTCTCTCAATGCTTGTTTAGGAATAAAAGGAAGCACTTTGATTCCTAAACCATTACAACAAAATCACAAATCAGTTCTGGACTAGTATTCAACATTATTTTAACATGGAATATATGTAACTTATTTATATGATTTTTCCCCTTGGCTAAGGATCCTTGATGGTGGGTTCTCATGCTAACCTTGAACCAGGACTCAATAGACTGTAAACTTAAGAGATTGTTATTAATCAAGATGCTATACTATTTCCAAATATGTACAATATGTTCCAGTTTTCTGTTTATAAACCTAAGTTCTTACTCTGTTTCCCTCTCCCGCTCTCCTGCCAAATTCTCCTCCCCTGAGGAAAGGAGAAAGATAGAGAAAAAGCACAATAGGTATATAGTTAAAGTCTTCCTCTGACCAAAAGTCTCATCACTCTCACCTCTGTTACGCAGGACACCAGTTTTGCCACTATCCTCTGTATCCTTTCAGAGATGTATTATGGCATATAAGGGTACTGAGATCCTTGGGGAAGGGATGTGGGTACACTGCTTATGGGTATGGCACTGAAATTCATGAGATGTCATTATTAACAGTAATGTAAACCACAGCATCTCAACCAGTAATATATATATGTGTGTGTATATATATATATATATATATATATATATATATATATGGGCTGGAGCGATAGAACAGTGGGCAAGGCGTTTGCCTTGCAAGCGGCCAATATGGCCGACACGAGTTCGATTCCTCCACCCCTCTTGGAGAGCCCGGCAAGCTACCAAGAGTATCTCGCCCGCCCAGCAAAGCCTGGCAAGTTACCCATGATGTATTCGATATGCCAAACGCAGTAACAATAAGTCTCACGATGGAGATGTTACTGGGCCCGCTCGAGCAAATCGATGAACAACGGGAGGACCGTGATCGTGATATATATATAGATAGATAGATATAGATATAGATATAGATATAGATACATATATTTTTTTTCGCCTTTTTGGGTCACACCTGGAGATGCAGAGGGGTGAGTCCTGGCTCTGCAATCAGCAATTACTCCTGGCGGTGCTCAGGGGACCATATGAGATGCTGGAAACCGAACCCGGGTCAGCTGCATGCAAGGCAAGCCCTACATGCTGTGCTATTGCTCCAGCCCCTCAACCACTAATATTTTTTAAAAGAGAAGTACACTATACTGAATCTGGGTTTTGAAAAAATTACTTGGAGAAAACCTTTTTTATATATGCCTCATTTTTTGTATACTGGTGGTGCCAGAGATGAACTACATGACCATATGCATGCAAGACATGCGTTCTATGATCAATGAGCCATGTCTCCATCTCCTGCTTTATTCCTTAAATAGCTATAATAACATTCCTCTGAATGGCATGCAGGTCATATAACCTACTGAAAAAATTTTTAAGTTGTATATAACCTTTCATCCCTATAATCAACACTACAATAATAATATATATGTATGTTATATATATATCTTTGTACATACTAAGTGTATATTATATAAATTCTTAAGAAGTACAATTGCAGGAATTCCCTGCCACAGAGGCAAGGTGGGATGTGGGGGATGGGGGGTGGGAGGGATACTTGGATCAGTGGTGGTTGAAAATGGGCACTGGTGGAGGGATGGGTACTCAATCATTGTATAATTGAAACCCAAGCACAAAAAGTTGTAAGTCTACAATTACACCTCATGGTGTTTCACTAATAAAAATTTTTAAAAAATAAAAAATAAAAGAACATCTGCCAGTGGGGAAAAAAAGAAGTACAATTGCTAAGTTAAATATATATGAATATTAAATTTCCAAAACTGTATTAATATTTTTTAAAAATATTATTTTAAATAATACTGAACATCTTTATCTTTCACCCACCAACTGGACTCTACTATTAACAATTTACTGTATTTTCATTGTATCATCTTTTTGATAGATTTTAAAGTAAGTTGAAAATATCAGTATGCTTTGCTTCAACACTTCATGATCTAGTTATGAAATGTGAATAACCATCACAAAACTAGTCTCCAAAGGCTCCATAGTTTATATACCAGTTAAGACTGCCTGACTATTCCCAACACTCTTGAAGAGAGTAGTAATAATATACACATGCAGAATTATGAAAGCTAATCCCTTTAAATTCCGTAATACTAAAGAACTAATTTTATATGTCAATCAAAAATAAAAGTATATTAGGGCTGGAGCGATAGCACAGCAGGTAAGGCGTTTGCCTTGCATGCAGCCAACATGGCCAACACAGGTTCGATTCCCAGTATCCCATATGGTCCCCCGAGTACCACCAGGAGCAATTCCTGAGTGCATGAGCCAGGAGTAACCCCTGAGCATCGCCGGGTGTGACTCAAAAAAAAAAAGCAAAAAAAAATAATAATAAAAGTATAGGGGTAGGGAGATATAATAGTACAGCAGGAAAGGCACTTGGCTTTCCTGCTGTACTATATTTGTACACAGTGGACCTTAGTCCGATCCCCAGTATCCCATATGATCACCAAAGTACCACCAGGAGTGATTCCTGAATGCAGAGCTAGAAGTAACCCCTGACCACTGCCAGGTGTGATCCCCAAACAGAAATTTTTTTAAGTACATAATCAACTCATTAACTCATTTTAAAGAATCTTTTTTAATTTAGGGGGTCACACCCAATGGTGCTCAGGGCTGGATTTGTGCTCAGAGGTCTCACGAGGCAGTGCTAAGAACCATACGCGTTACTGGGTATCAAACTTGGGTTGGCCCCATGCAAGGTAAGTGTCCTACCCACTGAAATATCACTCTGTCTCCCAAAATGTTTTTGATATTTGTTACTCTAATGGATGAAAAATGAAATCTTCTTGTATTTTAATGTTTAATATCTTTTGCAGTTCTATCACTATGAGTAAGGTATGTCTTTTTATATGTATTTCTTTTCCTATGTACTATTTTCTTATGTCCTTCAATTTCCCAACAATTTCCATCAATATGCTATTGCTTTTGTTTCACTGATACCTTAATCAATATTAAAGAAATTAGGGGCTAGAGCTATAGTACAATGGGTAGGGAGCTTGCCTTGCACACAGCCAGCCCAGGTTTCATCCTCAGCACTCTATACGTTCCCCTGAGCACACCAGGAGTGACTCCTGAGCTCAGACCCCAGAGAAAGACCTGAGCACCAGCGAGTGTATCCCCACAAAATCACCCATTTGCCATATGTTACCACTATTTTTCCGAGTGCTAGTCTGTTTGAATTTTTAATGTGTTTACAGTGTATTTCTCTTCTCGGAAACATATAAAAAGCTTTATCCCATGAATGCTTTTGGTACTTACATAGTATCCCTTTTTGTACATTTAAATCTGTGATGTATTGACAGAGATTTTAAGTCATAGCACTCTAACTTTGGAACAAAGGATTATTTACCAATACCATCAAATTGTAAACTCCTCCTGATTAATTTCTCCATGAAAATAGCAACCATATAGTATTAAAATAGTAATCATAAGACAGCAGCTGAAAGGGTTCTTTCTTGTAGCTCTAGTTTTAAAATTGAATTGTTTTATTTTATTATAGTTTAGTTAACGGATTGGAGCGATAGCACAGCGAGTAGAGCATTTGCCTTGCACGCGGCCAACCCAGGTTCCACCCAGGTTCTATTCCTCCATCCCTCTTGGAGAGCCCAGCAAGCTACCGAGAGTATCCCACCTGCACAGCAGAGCCTGGAAAGCTCATTGTGACGTATTCGATATGCCAAAAACAGTAACAACAAGTCTCACAATGGAGATGTTACTGGGGACCACTTGAGCAAATCAATGAACAACAGGAAGACAGTGCTACAGTGCTATAGTTCAGTTAACATGGGTATAATTCTGTTAACATTTCTTTTTTGTTGTTTTGGGGCCACACCTGGCAATGCTCAGTGGTTACTACTGGCTTTGTACTCAGGAATTAACCTGGAAGTATTCAGGGGACCATATAGGATTCTGGGGATCAATCCCAGGTCAACCACAAGCAAGGCAAATGCCCTATACCATGTTATATGGCTCCAGGCCTAAAATTTAGACTTTTGTTGTACAAAAGTGCCAAGAGCTTCCATCACTGTCCTGCTATTTCTAGCCTACCACTTTCTTCTCCCCTACAAGATCCCTTCTCCCAGTGCTTGGTAACCTCAGTTCTGCAGTCAAAATCCAAGGGTTTACCATCATTAGGTACTGTCCATTCCCTTGTTTTGTTTCTTCAGATACCACATACAAGCATTTGTTCTCCCTGTGACTTATTTAGTATAATATGTCCTAAACCTCTTGGATGGAGGGGAGAAAGAAAAAAAAGAGAGTCATATAAAAATAATAGTTCCATGATTCATTTTGTCACCTTTGTGTGCCAAAGTAGTTTTACCACAGACTTATTCAAGGTGAAAGTTTAAAACTGGTTTTGTACATCTTAGAATTATATGACTAACTCTTCACTATATCATTTACATGCCATATATTTTTACCATCTGTCCCTGTGTTTATGATAGGGTCTTTTAATAGTCTTTTCCACATCTTGAAATTCTAACTACCTTTTCAAGGTCCAGCTCAATTATATCTCTTCTGTGAAGCTATCAATTGTTTCCAATCGTCTGTAGTTTATAGAATATCACTTTGACTCTATATTACAAATAACTTTGTCCTTAAAAGTACCTCATATAGCTCCTAAAATATGCAAAAATTCACTCTATCAGAGCAACATTCCCCAGACTCATACATTTCACTTTGTTCTATAAAATAATTAATTGTGTAAATGTGTAAGATTTCATTTATTAAATGTTGAGTTGATATTCAGTTAGGCTGTCTCCACTTTTGACTATTATTTATAAATAATGTTGTCATGCATATTCTTGTATATGCACAGGATTACAATTGTTCCATTAAAATTTCTGAAGAACTGCCAGACAATT